GCATACATGTCAACCTCTTTGGACGTTTACCTGTATAAAGAGCCCTAAAAGTCCATAAATTTGGCAAAAAGTCCATACAACTTCCACCCGCGGGGGGCGTCATATGCGGACATGAAAGCGCCTGCTGCGAAGCAGGAGGAAAGGAGAGAGGAAAAAGTAACTTATTTCTAGCGGCAGAACAGGTTGGAAGATGGCTGTTTAATGTTATTGTTTTTTTCCATTGGCAATATTTGTTTATTATTAAATCTTTGTCTGCACAGAGCTGTTCAGAGTTGTTCAATTGGAACAAAATCTTAATTTACATGTTTCATTCAATCTCTCTGAGGACTGAACATAGTTTTGTATTTTGTCCCTTTTAAGTTTTATGAATTGACTTTGTTTGTTGCCCCATCACAGAAAGGGTATATAGATGGGCCAGCCCTCACCACATTCCACACTAACCTGGTTGTTCTGCCTGCTGTGATGGAGTACATGCAGTACATCTTCATAGCTCTCGGTCTGGCAACAATTATTGTTGCCTCTCTGGTGCATTACAAAGCAAAGGTAAGCCTACAACATACTGGTGCTGTTTTAATGTTCATCTGCATGTAGAATGTTGCAGCTTACTGCATGTTCTTCCCATTAACGATGGAAGAAGAGACAAGGAGAGACTGCACTGAAGTTTTATTTTTATCTGAACACTTGTTTAATAATGTAGGATTTTTTTTTTACAAATTTCACAAAAAGACTTGATATTTTATTAGCAGTTTTAGGACCAGACCTTTTTAAGTTTGGTAATAACTTATGTGCAGTCTCTCTTGTTTAAGCACCACTTTAACTTCACCCATTAACTTCATGCCTTTCCTTAACTGAGCGAACAAGGAGAGGGAAAAAGTTCACGTGCAGGTGCTGCAGGCTGTTGAAATCCTTCAGCTGCCCATCATTGTGCTTCGTGCTCATTTATCTTCACGCTGTTGACAACCTGTAAATAAATGTTTATCAGTTATGGTTTAATTAGCTCTGACACATTACGTTGTGTTGATCAGAAGTCCAAAGTAACATGTCTTTTGTTGTCTTCCAACCATATACTGGGTTCATTCTCAGAAAAACTTTCATTATTTCTCTCCCTTTTATCTGTTTGTATTTATATGATTGTTTAATGAACTGTCAGATGTTTTTTTGGGTGTGTGGGAAGAAAACATATCTGATAAAGTTAAGGTAATATCTTGAATGTTACTCCCAGTCACAGCTCTATACTATCCTGCAGACCAGTGCGATTTGTATACTATGATTGCTCAGAACTTTGTGGGCTTGTTGATTTTTGCAGAGCAGCGCATCCCTCTACATCAGGGCTATTCAACTAAATTGCTCCGGGGGCCACAGTTACTGCAGGCCAACAGCTAAATGGCCGAACATACATCAATTACAATCATTATGTGAATAAACCAAGTGTCTGTTACCTTTGAAACAGTTTATTTATTTTTTATTTAATCATAAATACAAAATACAGAACCCTATGTAATAAAAGTAGTGATAATAAAACWATATMAAAACTAAAAATAACACATTATCCCTCCTATTTAACACAAATATAATTTTGACATCTCTGATTTTTTCAAAAATATTAACCAATTTTATTTTCACTTTCGTTGTTTTATCTTCAACAGCTTGTTGTTTTACCAGCTTCTTGCCAAGATCCTGACATTTCTGTAGATACCAAACTTGTCTATGTTTAACTAAAAGAACTTAGAGTAATTAAAGTAGAAAACCAGGGGTTTGGGCTTAAGAGATGAATGAAGCAATTGGCGGGCCGAACTTTGGTCACTCGCAGGCTGGTGGCCCACGGGCCACCAGTTGAATAGCTCTGCTCTACATGTAATTTAGCTGAAATTGTCTGCTCCCAGAAGCTGGTTATAAAATTAACAAGCTGGACAGCTTCGAGGACCAACTCATCTGGTCCTGTTGAGCACACAAACATGCCACCAATGTCCACGCCTTCTTTTCATTTCTGCCGTTAAACACAAGAACATTTTTTCCTCTTCGTCCAATGACATGAATCTGATACATTGAATAAAAAAACAGCCATCTATCTTGTGGTATTGTTTATATGTTTAGCTATGCACAATGCGTGCCACGGTGGGAGTGCTGTGGTAGAAATTATGATATTTCACATCTTGTTGAAGTATAAACCAGGCATTAGGGAAAGAACCCTGACAGAAATATCAGAGCGGAGCCTCTGAGGTGGTTCCTGACCCCAATCTTGGAAAGGTTCTAACAAATCCTGCATGCTGATTCATCTCCAACTGTCTCGTCCATTTCTTGCTACTGGACTCAAATGTCCTGCAATGAGAGTGTGCTGTACAAGCTCTCCTCGGTTTTAACTAAGTCGCAGGCAAGTCCTGATGTTCAGCAGTAGTTTGCAGAGCATGGAAAAGCCTAGTATATCGAGCAGAGTGACACGCAGCTACAAGGGTGCAGAAGATGTTGAGACAGTATGACTCGAGTCTAGAAGGAGAGTGGCAACAACCCTAACAGAAGCTGCTGACACTTGTTCAAAATGTCGGAGCTTCTTTCATGCTCAGATTGGCCTAATAAGTCTTCTCTGGACACACAAACCCAGACGTGTTAAAAAGATGTGTTGATGTGTGAGAAGTTCAGGTCAAATCATGTTTGTCTTTTATTATTGTTTTTTTGTTGCATCTAATTGTGCCGTCTTTTCCCTCTGACCACAGATAGAAAGCAGATTTATTGGTGGTCGTTTGGCTCACCTGAACCTTTTATGGTTGTAAACAGACAAAATGTGGAAGTTCATATTATTTTCAAAGTACTATAACTCAGTTCATTCTCATGTTAACTTGCATCTACTTGTATCTTATTTTATTTATCAAAAACAAGCTTAAATCTCTGCTCCATGCAGGAAAGCTAATGTCCACCACCTACATGTCAGTCTTAGCAGTATCATTCATTACTTATTATTGTTACAAAACATGCTATCACCAGGACTGTAAAATGCCATAAACTGAGCTCTCTGTGCCATAGTTTTGGTTTGTGTAGCAGACAGTCAGCGGACCATAAAGCAGGAGTCAGGGAGTTAAGAGATATTTAAATAGCCTAAATTAAATGCAAACTTATGGGTGTAATATGATTGAAGTTCTTCATGCTTGTTTTTCCAGAGCTCTAGACATGTGTCTGTAATCTCCACAGTCACAGAAAAACTTGAGGTTTGTAGAAAGGTTTTTCTTACAAATGATCCAAATTCAAATTATTTCTCCAAAATGTTGTCATTTGTTGATTTTAAACTTTGGTCATTAACTTGATTTTTTTGTGGTTTTTTTTCTCCTTTTTTTAAATAAATACAACACAAATAAATTTTGATCATCCAAATCTGGGGTTTATTTTGCACTAAAATGTGTTTTAGAATAAAGATAAATTCTGTAGATTAAACATGAAGTGTTATCTGGTTAAACAAACAGGAAGCATGGCAAACAACATTTTATTTACAGCACATAATATGATGAATTGGATTTCCTGTGTTTAATGTCCACTGGGGGTAAAGAGAAAATCACTGTAACAGATGTACCCACCAGTTACAGTGGTTTGCAAAAGTATTCATACCCCTTGAACTTTTCCATATTTTGTCACATTACAACCACAAACATAAATATATTTCACTGGAA